AGCCAGTGAGCGGGAACCGGTCTCCACATGGGATCCGAACCCTCGGTGGGAGCGCTGCCGCGCTCCCAAGTGGCGCACTCTCCAGTGCGCCACCGGGCCGGCCCAGGGGATTGTTTCTGATCCTAGGCCCACAAAGGTTAAGGCATGCCAAAGTGTGGCACAAGTCTAAATGACCATTTTTTCCCTTTGAGCTTTTCTCTTACTTTTGCTAGTCAGTTTTTTCTCCCCCTTCAGCCTCTTCTGCTCTAGAACAGGTTCCTGGGTACCAGCAGAGTGTAGGAAGGGCAGAGTCGTCTTACCAAATGGCAGGACCACAGAATACACTGTAGCAAAGTTTTATGTCCTCCGTGATATTTTTATATCCAATTTTTCCTGAAAAGAATGGTTAAATGGTCTGTTTGAGGAAGTGATATGGCTAAGCTACATGAATGATATCATTACTTTTCCCTGATAATAAAAGATAATCAGCAGGAAGAGAAATTGAGGCTTAAATTTGATAACTGACTTAAATTATTTTGATTAGGGTTATTCAACTGTGCTTCGAACCCTAACATCAGGCTCAGCTACTTTTGCATTAGAACTATCTGCTTACCAAGCTATGAATCCTCAAGACCAGAGTATACTGCTCAGGCGGAGAAGTGGCTTGACCTAAGTGTTTTCAATCTTTGGAAATAGGAATTCAGAAGCTCCTACCTATTTTCAGTGGGAACAATTTTTACTGCTTTATTTATTGGAAAAATGATGTAACTTGAAAACTAACAAAGGCACCGGAGCTGCCCTTTCTAATGAACTGTGTTGTTCACCTATAAAGGTATTACTGTTAGCAGTAAAGACTTAGCCTTATTGGAATATTGGGTGGTTTTCACAAGGTTTTGTTTCTTTTTGATTTTAAGCTCTCTCACAAATGAAAAACATGTATGTAATGTAAAATAAGAGTTTCAATCAATAAAAAGGTATTTTATTCAAAAAACAGTCTAAGAAGTCTTAGTTTACATGATTTCAGAATCAAGTTGATTGTAGTGGTCTTTCTTCCCCTCCTGTTTTTCTGTGTTTCAGTTCATTTTTACGTTTAGTTCTGATTACAATATCCAGTATAAAGAGGTTGTGCAGCTATTCCACGTCTGTAGACAGATAATATATGAATAAAAGATGTTTTAGATTGATATCACTCATCTGCCATCTTAGCAAATTTAGTAGCTTAAATTAGTGTCACTAAATCACAGCATTAATTACTGAAAAAGATTCAAATGATTGATTGAAGATGGAGTTCTAAGTTACACCAAAATTTTATATATCTATGAAACAGTCCTAAGTCCAAGTATATCTCTTTCTTACAGGTATTATTCTCTTACCTACAAAAAAATTCACTGCTTCTAATTAAATTACGACTTCTTAGGTGATGAACATTTCTGTTTATAGCAAGAACAACAAAAATCCCAAGAAGCTAGCTAACACTGAATAACAAGGTTAAAAATACATTGGACTTAATAGTATCCTAGCTTGAAAAATAAACATTTGCCTTACCTGACCATTCTGCAGCGGTGCTTTGTTAGTCTGTCATAGGCATCTTCTATATCTCTGACATTTTTGTGACTCCAGAGTCTCTCACCAACAGCGCTTGCCCGGGGCCTAAAATTTAAACCACATGTCCCCCAAAGTATCTTAAAATTGTGTCTTAACAAGCAAACGGAAAGGACATTCTTGGGGGGGAGGGGAGAGAGGGAGGAGGGAGGGAGGTGTCGGTGATGGGCCATAATAATCATATACAGTGTATATTGACAAAATAAAAATTTAACAAAATAAAAATTTAACAAAAAAAAAAAAAAAAATTGTGTCTTAAGTATCTGAATCATATTTTGGTGGAATTCCTAATACTTTCCTGCTTGGATGGAGAAGGAAAGCTAAGGCACCTTCATTTTCTTAACTTGAATATTATCACTTAATTCCGTACCATAATCTTGGAGTGAGGTTAGTTGCATCTACATATTCTCCCCATAGACAAGCTTCTCCACCAATGACAAGATTTTTCTGTTCCTCAGAACCTAATTAAAAATTGAATTGATGTAAATTAAGCAGTTGCAGTTCAAGACATTTATACTGAGGCAATACTGATTTATCTTTACCCTAGGGCAACATACCTGTCCTATAGTCAGCAGGACCTTGGGAAGTGTTCAAGTTTTGGTACTGGCCCACTCTCCCCCCCACCAAAAAGGTGGCAAACTTTATTCCTACCCCTGACCTATAGTTCACAGTGCTTGTTAGCATACATAGATTAATGTGGTGGGCCAGTATTAAAGATACTGTTTTATTTTGGTTTTATGCAAAATTATGTTGATACCAAAACCCGTTTTTCCCCCTGGTTGTCTATTAACAGTGTGCCAAGGACTACAAATTGGAATGCTAGTTTCTGTTTTTAATAGGCTGTGACTGCCATGCCTGCCTCTAATTTCTACCTTTTGGTATTCAAAACACACACCAAAGAAACTGAGTACCTAATACTTTCTTAAAAACTTTCTTCTTATTATTTTTTACAGTAATTACAATATATAAAATGCTTTCTAAAGGAAGTTATACCAATTCTCAATAGATCTACAGTTTTGAAACTTTTTTAATATCAAAATCTTTTTTGAAAAAAAAAAAGTGTACTAAAGTCTGATATACAAAACTGGGCAAAGTAGAACTGCTCTTAATGAAAGGGTCTGAAAGCCTGAAGCTCCACTGCTGACACATTCCCTTCCCTGCCTCCCCCCAAAGGTTCCCCCTCCTCAGAACCCTACATCTACACAGCCTGTAATCCACTGAACTAGACTACAGCTTTGCTTAGATATCTTACATGGGAGAGGCAGTTCAGAAGAGAACATGCAAGGTTAATGCAGTCAAACATTGAACATAGAAAGTGACAAGACTCAGTGAAAAGGGGATCTACTTTTGAAGTTCTTTTATTTAGGCAAGTATATGGTTTCTTTCACAGTTTAAATGATACCAAGTTTTTTTTTTTTAAGTAAACACAAAAGCAAGGATAAGAGGTAATATCTAGGTAAGGATTTCTTGGGTAAGAGGTTAGAGAATAAAACTTAGAAACCAAGGTAATGATGGTTGCTTTACTTACCAGAAAAATCAAGAGGTTCCACATTATAGTATTTCCTCCAATCTTGTCCATAAGTAATATAATCTAAGTACCAGGGAGAAGAAAGAATTGTAGGGAAGCCAGACTCTGTGACTCGATGTAGTTCCTCAGGATATCCATTGTTCTTCCACACTTGAATTACAGTGTTTGGATGAAGCTAATAAGTTACAAATTGCAATTCATATTAGGTCTAGCAAATACAGTAGATGAAACTGAAACTCTATGAGTAGGAACATAACTTTCTAAGACCCTTGAAAAAACACATTTTCTTTTTTCCCCTTTTCTCTCAGAGTTAGTGCCATTCACCATTCATTGTGGGGATTAAAATTAGAAGTTTCATCAGCCTTAAGCTGGGTATTTAACTTTTGCCTATATACGAGGGTACTTCAAAAAGTTCATGGAAAGATTCATATTATCTTTTAGTTCTATTTTTCTACAAACTTTTTGAAATACAATTGTATGACACCATGTAGGTGCAATGAACTAAGGCTGGGATTTGCATTTTAGTTTTATTTCTATCACTCTAATGAAGTTCATGGAAAGATTCATATTATCTTTTAGTTCTATTTTTCTACAAACTTTTTGAAATACGATTGTATGACACCATGTAGGTGCAATGAACTAAGGCTGGGATTTGCATTTTAGTTTTATTTCTATCACTCTAATTTTTTACTTACTTTGTAACTACAAGGATATCAGCAACCCCTCTGGAAAGTTAATACTAGTGGCTGGACTTGCAAATTCCCAGTTGCTCCAAGGAAAATAAAGAATTCTGACTATGTCACAGAAAATACCATTTAAAAAAAAAAAAACATGCACTGACAATTTTACTTACTACAGAGCTACTTTAATAGCAGTAAAGATTCATTTGTTCTTATCTGTTCTGCCCTTCTGAAAAAAAGGAACTTAATCACAAAGTGAAGCACTATAAATTAATAATGAGATGAGGAGGAGAAGAGGGGGAGAGATGAGAGGAGGAAGCACTAAGTCCCTTGAGCCATCAGAATCAGATGCAGTCTTCGCAATTCTCACCTTCACTTTATTATCAAAAACCTCTTGCCAGACAATGGTTCCCTTGTTCATGGTTGCAATGGTATCCAAAAGCCTAGTGTTGAAAAAAATTAGTTATTTCAGATCAAAAGCTTAACAATATATTTAAACATGCACATTTTCTACCAAGGATCACTTGTAACATTGAGCATTGCCTTTCAGTATGACACAGCTTTATAGCAGAACCAGCTAACGTTGGGTAGTGACCCAAGTAGTTCCCTCTTTCTATAGCACATGGCATAGAACCTAACATAGTATAGTGGTTTAATAGTCATTTGCTGAATGACTGAGCTAAACATGCCCCCAAGATAGGAAGTTGTGGCCTCGAGTTGGTAGGCAACTTGTAAGAAGTTCTATAGACAGTAATCTCTGCTTAATTTCATGTGTATCTCAGATTAAAAGAAACCATGATCTAGCCTGTCCTATTACCTAAATAACATTCAACAGTTGCTGACCACCAGTCCAGACATATTTACAGATATTTAGATAATGCCAGGAGTTCTGCGGGATAAATAAAATTAGAATGCATCACCCACAAGCTGAATAGGAAAAGACTGAAATCTGGGCTTGCCAAATGAATAATATAGAGCAGGGGTGGCAGATTACATCCTCCAGGCTGTTTCTGTATAGCCATGAGCTAAGAATGGTTTTTCCATTTGTAAAGTATTGTTTTAAAAAAAAAAAGAGGATGTGTAACCGTATGTGGCCCATAATGCCTAAAATATTTACCCTCTGACACTTTAAGGAGAAAAGTGTGCTGATCCCTAGGAGGAGCAGCACTGTCCTGTAGAACTTTCTACAATGATGGAAATGTCCTATATATGCACTTTCCAGTATGGTAGCCACTAGCCTCATCTGGCCATTGAACACTTGAAACACGGCTAATGCAACTAAGGAACTGAATTTTTAACTTTCTTTAATTTTAATTAATTTAAATACAAACAACCACATGTGGCTATGGCTACTATATTGGACAGCACAGGTGCACAGCAAAAGCAATGCTCCTGGAATTGACAAAAGGGAATGAATTCCAGGGGCTAGATGGTGGTGAAGAAATTGTAATGTTTTAAAGAAAGTGTAGCCAGGGCTTTGAGCTGAGGTTTTGGAACAGATGACTGTATTCCTGTATTTCAACAGTTACTGCAAAATCACCACATCATTGATAAGAAAGCAGTAGATATCACTTCCGTTAGTGGTTTATTTTCATAACATCTACACTTTGGCACGTGGTGGAGAGAAACTGAAAAAATACTCATAAAGCACAATACTAAATAGCTTAAACTCTAAAAAAAAGCACTGATGAAATACAGAAATTGGCTTTCAAATAACTTACTTTTTAATATAGAAAGATTCTAGTTTATTAAAGTCTTTGCCAAAGCCTTGTCGCTTCATGAAATCTTGGATCTGTGGATTTGATTGCCTTAAACAAAAAGTGATTAAAATTTCATTAAAAGTTTGATATAACCAATCTATTATTTAAAGCAGCACATATCCCTAACATCAGTTATGCAGACTTAAAATTATTAAAGTTTGCAGGGAGCAAAAGAATTCTAAAAACTTAATTATGAATTATCTTAATTTTCCATTGCAAATAATTTTTTCCAGAAGCTGATTTCCTATGAAAATGGCTTTCCCAACAGCCCCCACCCCCTACCACCTCCCTCCTCCATCTAAGGATATTTGCAAAGAGGATTTTTCTTTGAAAAATCTCATCCATTTAATCATCACCCTCTTTTACTAAAGGTGTTCTCATCTTTTTTTGAATGTTCACTTTCTTCTGCATCTTGATTCTTCT